AAGACCACGATGAGCTCTTTGATGGCCACGGCGCGGTGGCCGTGGCGCGGTCGGGGCACGGGGCCGGCCCAGCCCACCACCCGCTTCCAACGGGGCTGCAGCGCCGGGGGGCCCGGGGGGGCCCGAGGAGGGGAGCCCCCCCCGCCCAGGCCTGCCATGTGCCCCGCTGCCTGTCCTGGGGACACCCCGAAAATCAGCAAATTCCATCAATAAACCCAAAAAAACCCAAAAAACCTGATCCCAAACACAGCCCCGCTGCCTGTCCTGGGGACACCCGAAAATGAGTAAATCCCATAAAAAACCCCAAAATAACCCCAATTATCTGATCCCAAACACAGCCCCGCTGCCTGTCCTGGGGACACCCGAAAATGAGTAAATCCCATCAATAAACCCAAAAAAATCCCAGAAATAACCCAAAAAAACCTCATTCTGAAAACCCCAAAATTACCTGATCCCAAACACAGCCCCGCTGCCTGTCCTGGGGGGACACCCCGAAAATGAGCAAATTCCATAAAAAACCCCAAAATAACCCCAATTATCTGATCTCAAACACACCTCCGCTGCCTGTCCTGAGGACACCCCAAAAATCAGCAAATTCCATCAATAAACCCAAAAAAACCCGATCCTAAAAACCCCAGAATTACCTGATCTCAAACACAACCCCCGCTGCCTGTCCTGGGGGACACGGGGGGGTCAGGATACCCAAAAAAAAATCCTAAAAATTACCCTATCCCAAGAACAAGCCCAAAAAAAAACCCCAAAAATGAGCTGATCCCAAAAAAAAAACCCCAAAAAACTGATCCTAAAAACCCCAGAATTACCTAATCCCAAAAATAACCCCGCTGCCTGTCCTGGGGGACACGGGGGGGTCAGGGTACCCCCAAAAAAATCCTAAAAATTACCCAATCCCAAAAATAACCCCCAAAAAACCCCAATTACCTGAACCCAAACACAGCCCCGCTGCCTGTCCTGGGGGACACCCCGAAAATGAGCAAATCCCATCAATAAACCCAAAAAAACCCGATCCTAAAAACCCCAGAATTACCTGATCCCAAACACAACCCCGCTGCCTGTCCTGGGGACACCCGAAAATCAGCAAATCTCATCAATAACCCCAGAAAAATCCCAAAAATAACCCAAAAAAAACCCCAATTACCTGATCCCAAACACACCCCCGCTGTCTGTCCTGGGGGACACCCCAAAAATGAGCAAATCCATGAATAAACCCAAAAAACCCGATCCTAAAAACCCCAGAATTACCTGATCCCAAACACAGCCCCGCTGCCTGTCCTGGGGGACCCCCGAAAATGAGCAATCCCATCAATAAACCCAAAAAAAACCCAAATAAACTGATCCCAAAAACCCCAGAATGACCAAAACTGTCTGATCCCAAACACAACCCCGCTGCCTGTCCTGGGGGACACGGAGGGGTCAGGGTACCCCCAAAAAAATCCTAAAAATTATCCGATCCCAAAAATAACCCAAAAAAACCCCAATTACCTGAACCCAAACACAGTCCTGCTGCCTGTCCTGGGGACACCCCGAAAATGAGCAAATTCCATAAAAAACCCCAAAATAACCCCAATTACCTGATCCCAAACACAACCCCGCTGCCTGTCCGGGGGGACACCCCGAAAATGAGTAAATCCATGAATAAACCCAAAAAACCTGATCCCAAACACAACCCCGCTGCCTGTCCTGGGGACACCCCAAAAATGAGCAAATCCCATCAATAAACCCAAAAAAATCCCAACCCTAAAAACCCCAGAATTACCTGATCCCAAACTCAACCCCGCTGCCTGTCCTGGGGGACACAGGGGGGTCAGGGGTACCCGAAAAATGAGCAAATCCCATCAATAAACCCAAAAACCCCCAAATAAACTGATCCCCAAAACCCCAAAACTACCTGATCTCAAACACACCCCCGCTGTCTGTCCTGGGGGGCACCCCAAAAATGAGCAAATCCATCAATAAACCCAAAAAACCCGATCCCAAACACAACCCTGCTGCCTGTCCTGGGGGACACACCGAAAATGAGCTGATCCCATAAATAACCCCAGAAAAATCCCAAAAATAACCCAAAAAAAACCCCCATTACCTGATCCCAAACACAACCCCGCTGCCTGTCCTGGGGGACACGGGGGGGTCAGGGTACCCCAAAAATGAGCCGATCCCAAAAATAACCCCAAAAAACCCCGATCCTAAAAACCCCAAAATTACCTGATCCCAGAAACAACTTCAAAGATCAAAACTACATGATCCCAAAAACCTCAAAATTATCTGACCACAAAGCCCTCAAAATGATCAGTTCTCAAAAACCCAAAATTACTGACCCCAAAACGACCGAACCCCAAAAACCCCAAAATGACTGGACCCCTCCCCAAAACCGTCTCTCCTGGGGGGATCAGAATGTGGGAAACACCCCCAAAAAAATCCAAAATTACCTGACCCTAAAATCCCTAAAAACACCTGTCACCTCTCCCCTTTACTACCTGTCCAGAGTGGGGTCA